TAAGGTGATTCCTCAGTACTGCATTGCGCATTCCTACTGCGCACAATTTTTGCATCATCAACACGTGCAAATGAGTGCGTGCACATACACAACATAAGAGACTTCCCTCAAGCTAAGCTCAACAACAAAATAAATGCTTGTTTTCTCTGAAACGAGTTTGGTGACCTATATTTTTTATTGCATAATTAACCGCGTGGCCATGGGCCGAGCGCGGTTCATGGTTTACCCGTGGTTTTTTTTTTAACCGCACGGCCATGGGCCAAGCGCGGTTCATGGTTTACCTGTGGCTTTTTTTTAACCGCGCGGCCATGGACTGAGCGTGGTTCATGGTTTACCCGTTGTTTTTTTTTTATTTGTATGCAAGCAGACCCAAGCTTTCACTCGGCCAAATTTTGAGTCACGCAACCTGTGATGTTTACTCGCCAAAAGCTGTTGAAACGTTAATAAATCTCATCTCTGATACTGACTTTCGCGGGAAAAAAATTAAAAACCCAGCGTTCGTCCAAAATTATATTTTTTCAGCAGAAATTTCGCTCGGAACATATACATATTTATATTCGTTTGAATTGTCGATGAAATGACCTTTTCCGGATATTTTTNTGATCTGAAATATGAAGGGCGATTTCAAGTTCAAGTTCACGTGTGGTCTGAAACTAGCTCCATCGCAGTAAACCTCAGTAATAAGGCACAAACACTTGCTTTTGCCATCGCGTTCTCTAAAAGATAATCTTTGCGTTTTATATAATCAAAGACCCCGTCCACACTAGGCAGGGAAAATTTGAAAACACATCTTTATTTCTACGGTTACGCCTAATCGTCCACGCTAATCCGTCACGAAAACGGAACTTTTCGAAAACGTTCTTCGAACCGGAGGAATTTGAAAACGCCGGCTTTGCGTTTTAGTATGGACGAAAACGTTTTGAAAACGGAATTTCTCGAAAACGATGACGTTACGATAATCACGTGATGTCCCTGCCCGAGTCTCCCTCAAACACAAATCCAAAATGACCGGTGATTGTTGCGTGTTCAAATTTCGTCAGCGTAGTGTGGTGAGGAAACATTTGATGCAATTTCAGAGTGAAAACGCCCTTCTCAAATTTCACCGGCGTAGTGTGGACCGAACCTAAACTGGAGGGGTTAAGACTAGGTGCCAGTTGTCGGGGATTCCTTGAAGGGAGGTGTGCTCTCGAGAACACTCTTACTAAGTATTCTCCTTGGAGCAAATCACGTTAATTAATTTATATTTTACAAAAAAGGAATTGAATGACGAAAAGGAAACTGGAGGGAATAAATATCAAACTCGAGAGAAAAACCGTGACGTAAATCGCGAACGATTTATACTTTGTGGGTGATTTGCTGACCTGTAGAACATAACATTAACTAGACTGCGAGCAGTCACTTTGCCTAGCGTGCAACGAACAAGACAAACTAAACGACTGCGAAGTAAAAGACGAACGATCGAGCGGCGAATTTTAACTTTCCCAATCGCGCAGAGGATTTCAGGAACAAAAACAGACTGCTCGTAATCTAAAATATTACCAACAAATGGTGGCGAGAAACAGCGATCAACAACTTGAAGCCGATACTTATCGTGCACTTGAAGACGAAATGAAAAAAGAAACTATACGCGCGCAAAGCCAAACACAAACTGAACAAATGGCTTCTTTATAAGCGTGAAAATCATGAAAGTTTTTCTTCGCATGCGAAAAGTCGTCAATGAAGATTCATCTAAGTTTTGTTTACAAATAGCTGACATGAAGACACTTGTGGCAGAAAAAATGACACAGAAGGTGGTTGTGTCCTGGTGTACCGGTACACAGAGGGAATAACCATTGTACTCCTTTCTTTACGAACCTTTGTTTAGCTGTTGAACATTGTTGGGTCTTTTGTATCGGTTCTTGTGAACCGGTAACCGAGGACAGAACCCAGAAGGTAGTTAACTATGTACAGTTGTCAATAATATGTAATTATATATTTTCACCTTGGGTGCTGCGAATGTCTTACAAACAAACCATAAAAAACAACAGTGATCAGAAAGCTACATACATAATTGAATATCTAGTTTATAAAGTGATTCAAATATGCAACTGAGGCAATTACGGCACCTTTTATTTTCGTTCAAAAAAGCATTTCAACTTCCTACTTCTCTTCTATAAATGGCACACCACTTTACATCTATGTACATTATTTTATTATCCGGCTCAGAATGGGCCAATTATTTGTTATTCCCGAGGTTTGTAAAATGTGTCCATGTTCCTAGAGATGTGCGTTAACCGGGGGCCATAGTAATCAATGATATATGCAGAACCATCTGCAGGACCAACAACCTGGACAACAGATCTGATAGAAAAATGCATAAGATGTTTATTACTTTAAGCAACTTTACGTAGAGGTATGTGAAGTCTACCTTCAAGCCTAGTAGCCCATCAGGCTTGCACTTACACGGGTGGATCCAGGATTTTTCTTAGGAGGGGTGCACCACTAAGGAATGGCGTAACTGACTGGTGAGGTAAACAAATTTTACAAGCGAATAAGAAGAAGTAGGCTTCATCTCAGGGGGGGGGGGGGTGGGGAGCACCCTCTGCACTCTCCCCCTAGATCTGCCCCTGACTTATCTCTGGTTTCTGAGGCATAAAGTGACTAGGAGTATTTCTACTCCCCCCTGGATATGATGCTGGTCTACTAGTGTACCCATTTACAAACCTGAGTGGAAACTGTGAGAACTAAGGATGTTGCCCAAGAAGACAATATAATAACACAGTGATCCCAGCAATTGAGTTGTAATGTGTTATCAAATAAACAAGCTTACTTAGTCTTTGAGGAGGAGCAAGAAGATGAATAGTTCAAAGTTTGTGTAAGCTGGCAAATGGTCCTTCAAAAAATACAGGTTTCACAAAATTTAAATCCAATTTTAGTAGCCTTGTCCTCTCAATTGTTTTTCTGAATGCTTTCTTGGGATTCCTTTTGCGAGGGGTAAGAAAGTTACGTTTTACCCTCTTGCAAAGTCTCAAATTTGCCATTCACCACTCCAACATACATGTATCATTCCTAATGTGACAACAAGATAACTTAATACATACCATACTGTATTACGTATTCTGTGTTATTGTGCAATTAGATAATGACGAGAGGCATTAAGTACAGTGTTTTATGTACAACTAAATTTCACCTGTGTTGCAAACATCTACAAGTTGAATAAACGGCACGCAATGCACGCAGAAGCGATAACGTTTAAAAATTGTTCCTAGAAGATTGGAACATGAGCAGACAAACTGATTCTTAAACTTTTGGGTTAGAAATTTTAGGGGTTTACATTACATTACATTTAGGGTAGTCCATTGGTGATCCTACAAACTGCAAAGGAAAGCCGCAAAGTACAAGTTTCTCTCTCTGAAATCGACACCTTATTATCTTTAAAGGTATTTGGCAACGCTAATTACCTCACAGAAAATTAATTTGTGAAGTATATATCAAATAATGCATATTTGAACTGCGGTTGTAGATGAAAGCGAAGAATGATCATCGCAGTAAATTATCCAATTTAAGCAA